TTTTTTTTTTTTTTTTTTTTTTGTATATATGTAGGGTATTCTGGGTCAGTTTACACACACCAGAAAAATTTGACATGTAAAGAGATGCTCAATGTCCTAAAATTATTATTCCAAGATACAACTTTTATATTCTATATATAATTTAAGTGTTCAATGAGTACAATGGTTACATATGAAATGATAATAGCTACATTAAAATTTACAAATTAATTTGTAACGCAAGAATAGTATTATAACATCTATAATTGTCAAATAATTAATTAAGAAATATTTTATATTGATTAAAAAAAACTGCAACAATTAAAATAGTTAGACTTACAATTTTGAGTCTTGCAATGCCATCTGAATTTGGATTGTTTTGGCCAAACAAATCAAGCACCTCCCTTCTAGCTTTGTCTTGCCAATCAGTATGAATAGCTAGAAGAAGAACAGTCCAACTGAGTAAGGCTGTAGTTGTTTCATGCCCAGCAAAATAAAATGTCTTGCACTCATCAACCATATCTTCTATTGAAATCCACTTGTCCTTATCTTTATCATGGTTTGCCTCCAAAAGTTTTCCTAGAAAATCACTTTCACACCTTTCTATTTCTCCAATTTTCAATTTCTCCCTTTTCTTTATGATCTCTACAATGCAATCTCGAATCCCTTTCTCAATAGTTTCCGATTCTTTATCATCGGCACTTCTGAAAATTTGACTGAAAAATAATTTAAATTTTAATGCATGATGAAAAAGACAATTAATACTTGGAATTGTTTTGGTGCTTAAGATAGTCACAAAGCTGTAATACGAGGCCATGAAATTTAAATTTTGTACAGTATCTATTCTAATAGTAAAGACATGGCAGTATGAACTCTATTTTTTATTTTACACTCACCTCCTGGAGTTTCTGACAATTACATTGGCATCCCTTCCCTTTTTTTTGAAATTACACTGACCTCTCTTGATGTTTATTTTAATTTGTAGATTCCTTCTTTCCGTTAGTTGGACGTTAGTTTGACTAACAATTTTATTTTATTTTATTTTTAATATTTTTTTTGGCAAAAGTTAGTGATTAGTTGTTAGATTAGCACATAACTATAACATTTGAAGTGATTATCTATAAATTGTAAAAAAAAAATTACTTAACCAAAAAATATATATATATCTGTAAATTAAAAATAAAAGAAATCAATTAATCATTTTGTAGGTAAACAAATTAATATGAATTATTGAAGCCAAATGACAAATGCAGTGTCCCAATTCGATTTTTATTAATTTAGATAATGAGACTCATCAATTTTATTTTATTTATTTTTATGACAACTGAGCCGTAATAATATCAATATTGATTAAAAATTACCAAATAATTTTTTTTTATATGTATGTAGTTATTATTATTATTTTTTAAAATTTGTTTTATCATCGTTTTTGTCATAACAATAGAATAACATCGGTTATTCTATATATGCACCATAGGTTATTTTAAATATATACATCATTTTATGTGTACGGTATACATTTTATAACATTTCTAATATTGAGATTCCTAACAATTATATTGGTGTTCCCTCATTTTTCTGAAATTACATTGATATTTCCTATGACTAACCCTTCTATTAGCGCCATTAGTCACAAGGGATGTCAATCTAATTTCAAAAAAAGTAGAGGAGACTAGTATAATTGTCATAAACCCCTAGGTCATGAGTATAATTTACCTGGTGACTAACCCTCTCATTAACCTAGTTAGTATCAAGGAAGGTAAGTATAATTTCAAAAAAAGTAGAAGATGCCAATCTAATTGTTAGAAACCTCAGGAGATGTGACTATAATTTATTCTTAAATTTTTGAATGATTTGATAAATGAGAAAGATGAATTAAATTTGAAATTTGAAATGTTTCTTGCAATAATTTTTTTAGATGTGAATATTTAACATTTTTATGAGTATTCTTGAAAAATAAAAAATAAAAATAAGCGTGTGAAAACTTACATAAATAGTGTCATTTATTTATTTTAAGAATACTGTCTACATGTAATAACTAATGACTGTCCCATCTGAATGTTGCTAAATAATTCTTGTCATTTTTATTTAATTGTCAAATTATAAAAAAAAATGCATTTGCACCTTTTATATGAATAAAGGGACGGACCCAGATTTCATATGGGGTGGCTGAACATATATTAGTAAAAATTTAAAATAAAAAGTATGAATTATTATATCATTTTTTTATTAACATATAAAAAGTGAAAATAAAATAAAAATATATATAAAGAAGCATACTTTTTTTTATTTATTTATCCACATTGAGTTATAAAATATAGCAACTACAAAAATAATCTATTTATTACAGTGAGGAACTTAGAGTTGTGTTTGACGCTAAAGTATCTACGATAAAATCGATTTTGAAATTTTTCATAATGTCTTTCTTAATGAACATTACCAACTAACTAACTGATGCGTTATTTCATAAGTTGGAAATAAGGTTTTTGTAATCCAGATTCCACAGTAGTTATAAGAAGTTATTTATTTTATTATATTTCTTTATTTTTTTTAAATCTCGTATTTTGATCTAATGTTTTATAGATATAGAGGAGAAATCACTTAAATTTTAAAAAATATTGAGAGTGGATGACCACCTAAATTTGTAAAAAAAAAAGAAAAAAAAGAAAAAAAAAATACTTAGAGGGGACGAGTTTCTATAATTTAGAGATAATTATAATTAATACTAATCTTTGTCTCCCTCTAAGTCCATTCTTGTATTTATATCTATTGTATGTATGTGCACGTGTATAAAAGTATTATATATGTATATAACATAAATTGATTTTGGGGGATTGTGGTTGATTATTATGATATTAATCGATCAGTTGTGATTGCAGGAAGCAGCATTGTATGTGTTGAATACAAGGAGCATTGAAGAAGCCATGAGGATTTTCACCAAGGTAAAACTATAGTTCCAAATGCCGCATCTAAAAAAATGAGTAATGGTCGATACATTTTACGAATGTTGAAATGTTTCATAAATATCCTTTATGTTCCCACATCTGATAATTGTTCCAAACTATTAAACAATTTGCTCATTTATCAAACAATTTAAAATTTTAGTTGTAAAGTTATAAACGTATAATAAGAGACACGGTTCTCTTGTAATTAAAAAGTTATTGATAAAATCAACGTGAAATGACCTCTTAATTAATGAACAGTAACTACTAGGTTCACTTATATGCACATGTGGGCACTGTCATAGTAGTTGATATATACATTTACATACTTGAAGTATTGGTACACATTATGTCTGTGTGTGAAACAGTTAAATAAGATTAGAAACTGTTCCAAATAGTTACTAACGTGAGCCCATTTCGTTTACGCTAACTTAACTGTTGGTTTTATATAATAGTATATATTTAGTATATACGTATGTATATATATATAGAAGGTGTACATGTGGGTGTGTAGTTACAAGATTTATAGTTACACAAGGGAATTGTAGTTACCCTTTTGTAATTGCTCTTGGGGTATTTTTCGAAAAAAGAAAAAGAAAAAGTGACAGCCACATCAACTGAAGTGCTTAAGTGCTGGCGTTAATAGTATAGTATATAGATAGTGTTTTGACAGCCAGGATTGGAGATTGAAACTAGGGTTTTGATTTGGATTTTAAAAAAAAAAAAAAAAAAAGTTCCCCCCTTCCCCCAAATAAAAAAAAAAGAAAAAAGAAAAAAAAGAGCACAAAGTCACACTGCATTTGTTTACATAAATGAGTTATAGGGAAAATCTTTGATTCACACTAAATTAGTTTGGTGTTTCATTAGTTTGTACAATTTATTGTGGTTGGTTTTTCTAGCTTTGTGTATTGAATATGGAGTTATTCCTTTTATGGAGTTTTTGCACCAATTACAAATAGTTCAACTTAAAAAGAAAAAAAGAAAAAAAAGGTTTTGATTTGATGATTTCAAACAAAGGTTTTGATTTGGGGATTTCAATCTTTGAACTTGGTTCAAGGGGGGGAGCATTCTCCGGGTGCCTGCTTTCGTCTCCAGCTCTCTCTCTGGCGGTCTTCTCTAGCAACGTGCATTGGTGCCCCCCCTCCCTCTCTTCCTCCTTGGCTGGTGTTTATTTATTTATTTATTTGTTTTAAAGCTATTAACGAAAATGACGTCGTTTTGGTTGTACTTCAAGACCTCTAGGAAATAGTAATGAGCCCCCAAAGCTATCACTAATTTTTCCTGTTTAATAACGATTGCCTTGACCATTATTCCTTGATGTGGTTTTAAATTTGCAGGATTTGCAGCCAGTTGTAACTGTTGCAGAACAGAATGAGAAAGCAACCATTGATTTCAATGAACACAGTGAAGGAACCACCGTGGATTTCAATGAAGAGTTTAACTGTTTTGCTAATGAATTACAAATTCCATTGCCAAGAGATATTGCCTCTTCACCTTTTTGATAATGATTTAATTGCTCCTTCCTTCCAGTTTTTATATATTATAGTTATAGCATGTTTTACAGGGTGGATTTTGCTCGCCCATTAGTTTAATTTTTTAAAAATATTTGGGGTACTAACAATCTTACTAATACACTCACAAGTTGAAGTGGGTCACATACAAAGTGATGATCTTATCAAAACTTGTAAGTGTGCTAATAAGATTGTTAAAAAGTATGTAAGTATCTCTAGTATTGTTGTTAATTTTTTGGATTTAGGGTTTTATGAACTTTTAAAAGTGGTTATGTACCAAAATGTAGTGTTGTGTTTCCTTTTCGAACTCAATTGGATAATGCTTTATTGGATATTGTAAATTTTTTATTTTATTTTTAGATATTGAATATATATATTTTTTTAATGGATAAAATTCATTTTACCCTGAGGTTGGAGCATTTATGACATACATAGTCAAAAAGTCTTAATGTGATTTTAGGCTAAAGTGTTATCGTCAATTTTTTAATTTATTCAAATTAATTGAAAATTCATTTAAATTAATGGGACACTATTTATTATACTGGGCCTGATTTGTTAAACAAATAAAATGAAATTAATAAAATAACAAAATAATTTTATTCACATCTTTTTTAAATGTAAAATTAAATTAAGATGTTAATTTAAATAAAGTTAAATTAAAATATAAATAATAATTGATTTAAAATATAAAATATAAAAAATATTGATTTAATATATGATTAAATTAAAATATATAAATTAATAATAATTAAGGATTTGTCACGCCTCACTTTTTATTACTTAAATAGTATTACCACATTTATTATTATAATCTAATTTCATTAATAACACGCGAAAGCTATATGTATTACCGTTCATAGATAAATGAAAATTTTCTTATTTGTATATACATTGAATGCAAAATAAATTATAATTAAAAGAAACGCCCGCAAGCTTATATTATTTCATAAAAAGAAAGGGTTTAACCCTTTACAATAATGACGTTCCGCCAATAGATATAGGCCCCTTAGCCAACAATTTAAAGAAAATCCTTCGACCTTGTACCATTTCTCAACGTGTACCTAAAAATGATTACCAGCATGGAATGAATATAAAGTATAGTAGAGATGTCAAAATAATCCTAAACAATAGCAACATATAGATAGTTATTATCATAAATGCGCCACATCATACTATATAAGTAATGTGACAATTTTATTTCAAAAATAAAACATACATAATAAATATAATTTCTTCTAAAAATCTATCTTTTCAAGCTTTCAAGCAAAACCTGTTTGTCATCTCTTCATCTCATCAACTATGATTGAAAAGAATTTCTACAAATTATATTTACTTTAGAAAAACATTTTAAAGCAATCAATCATTTGCCCATTCTAACCTTCATCCCAAAAGTAATACTCACACATTCTAGTCATAATCTCATCTTACATCACAACTCACTACACACACCTTTAAGCACAAGGGCAAAAGTACACCTCCAACAATACAATACAATACAATACAATACATCTATGCGCATACAGATATATAAATATGAATAACGGAAAAAAACACATACTTCCATTTTTACTGGCCTAAAGCACGAATGGATAATGAAACAACCGACATAACAAAACACGCTTTACCGGTCTCACCTGAACAGGAATGACCTACAGGTCACACTTTACCGAGTGCAAACTAGAAGGGAGATGAACCTATCTTAAAGCGTCACACTTTATTAGACCTACCGAAAGGTAACAGACCTCAATTCACACTTTATCCGGCGCAAATTGGTAGGGAGAGACCATCTATCAAGACACCACGCTTTACCGGCCTTGCTGAGCGGGAAATGGACCCCCAATCTAATAACACAACATTCTAGATTACATCGATAATCTACAAATATAACATATATGTATTCTATTCGACAACAACAATATTATTCTCCACCGACGACTAAGGATAAAACCCCTAACAATTAAATACATAACTCTTTTAAATTATGTCCACAACCGGTTCCACAATTTCAAACCATCAACGTTTTCAATGAAATCATTTCAAAACAACCATTTGCCCCACTCACTTTTCCTTTTTCCATTTTCCATTTCATTTCACAAAAGGGTTATAAACATTATTTTCTTTTCAAAACCAAACTTGTTGTTCTAAGTCTTCAACACTCCCAACCCTTAGTCAAAACCCCTTTTTATTTAACAAAATTCCAATTTGTTGTTACACAATCACAACTCAACACAATATAAAATTAACCAAACAATCACAAGACTTGATTAACTTCTTTTTAGCAACCAAAGTTCTAATTTATTAATGTAACATATAACCCAACAATTTCTCAACTTTAATTTCTTTCATTTTATTCAACCCTTAATTACAACTTAGGGATTTTCACTACTACCAACATAAGCATGATTAACTACTTCCCAATTTATCAAATCAACTCAAAATCATGCTATTAAAACTTCTAAAACTCAAAACCCTAGATCCTCTTTCGTGCTTTAGAAAAATCCGATAACAAACACGTCTTTTAATGTGATAAAAATTATGTCTTTTAATGCAATAAAAATTATCACATGTCTATCTATAATGAGGTATTGAAATGATGCAAAGAAATCCCTACCTCTCAAAGTAAAGAGGAGAAAATTCAAAAAACCCACGGTGACGAAAACACGATATGCTCAAATTAAAAGGAAACCCTTGCCGAGTTCTACGTTTTGGTATATAGAACTAGGCGTAGAAAATGGATAGAAATATATGAAACCTAGGTTTGAAAGCTTTATGGATGCAAAAATGGCAGAAAGTGAGAGAGAGGAAAGACAGAAGATCAGAAAATTAAAGTGAGGAAAAATGAGCCAAAAGTGTCACGATCCAAACCCGGTACCCAAAGGTTCGGCGTCGAACAAGATAAAATAAAATAATTCTAAAATTTCTGTAGTGGTAGCGCAACGGATAAATTAAATAAATTAAAATAAAATAATTAAGTATCAAAAGCTTATTAAAAGAAACAAAAAGTCATTTGGACTTTTATTTTATTACAAGAGTCCAATCAAAATACAGATAGTACAAAAAAAAAAAAACTAAAAAGGAAAAGTGTGATGGCCGGTTGCGTTGTGCACCCTTTCCCACATTATTTATATTGGGTTTGCCCTTGTTAGAGCGACGGGTTTAACTTGGAACCTTGTTAACCGTTGGGTTTGTTATGCTCGGAAGTTTTTCTCAAAATTCTTGTTCTTATTTATTCTGGTGTTGAGTTTCACTTGTTTCGGAGGATGCGGGGTCGGGTCCGAAGCGTCGAATTGAGCCGTCAAATTTTTAGGCTGGAGGACCAGGGCCGCACATGCAGGGCCTTAGGTTGCACATGCGGGAGAGGGGTCGCACGTGTGGGAGAATGGTCGCCCATGTGGGAGATGAGGCCGCACGTGTGGAAAACAGGAGAGGGTTGGAGAGCACGCGACAATATATGCAGGTGCGGGAGTGGTAGTGCGGAGGAAAAGACCGCACGTGCGGTGATGAAGGCCGTACGTGCGGTAGGCACGCTCCACACGTGCAGGCATGGGTGCCGCACATGTGGTGGTAGGTAGAGTCCGAAAATTTCTTTTTCTCTTCTCTTTGGGCTGAATGTATCTCACTTTTGATATATCTCTCTCTCTATAAAAACTCTTTTCTCTCCCTTCTCTCTACATTTTCCTACACCAAATTGGATCAAAACTTTGATTTCTCTAGATCAATTAGAGTTTTGCCCTTAGTCCCTTCACCAAAGTTGAAGAACTCCTCGGGGGCTACATTGTGTGCGGTGAAGATTGAGTTTCGACACCGTTGATTTTGGAGGTTTCATCTCATTTTTTCTTCAAAACTTGAGGTAGGGATTTTCTTAGAGTTATATATATATATATATATATATATTTGCAAGATTTGGTTAAAATTTCAAAATCCCTTTTTGATAGCTTTGAAATTTGAGTGTTGGCTCAAGAATGTGAGGGGTTTTAAAAGTGGAATTAATCTTGTACCTTTTTAAATAACCTCTTGAGGGTTTGAATCACTTTGAGTGAGGGATGATGTTCTCTTTTAGGGTTTCTTTCAAACGTTTGGGTGTGTGTGTTGTTGTGGTGAGAAAAACCTAGAAATTTGGGGGTCTTTAAAAGAAGGAATTTGAGAATACATGGTTGATATTGTTAATATATACATATATATATTTTATGTGCCAAGATGAGTAAAGAAAATGGGAAAAATTCTTGATTTTATATAAATACATATATAGATGATGGGTTTCATAACATATGAGAATTGTTGAGATTGAAAGTTGTTGTCCAAACATTGCTATAGTCTTGAAATGACTAAATATTGGAAATGTATGAATTATGGAAATATTGTTATATATTGATGAATTGTAGCAAATACTTTGGCTATTTTGTGAAATGGCATTGAAAGGAGAAATGAGAATTTAGATCATTACGGAATATTTGTTAAAGATATTTTGAAAGTGGAGAAATATTATGTGGCATAGATAATTGTTGCATTGGCATTTCAAAACCTTGCATGTTATGAATATTGAATTGGGATTTGAAACCTTGCATTGAGAAAGAAATATTGTGAAATGAAAATTATTGTAATGTTTTGGGGTAAATACGTTGGTAAGTCCAGATAGGAGGTGTAGATGAAATTGATTAAGTTGGCCTGAGTGTCCGGAGTGAAAGACCGAAAACACACGTGGAGGAGGTACCACTTTCCTTTCGGTGAGCACCCGGTAAAGTAGGGTTTTGGAAATGCTAGTTATGCCTACTTGCAGACACCAACCTAGGGATTACCTGAGCCATATTTACCGCCCCTTTGAACTAAATTGTAAATTTTGAATTGTTGAGATTTCAATCATTGAACATGATGATTTTCAAAAGATGTAAAAATGTGATTTTCTTTCAAAAGCATAGGATAGCACGTGCATATCATATTATGGAGCTTGTATAAAATGTATATACTTTGTTAAGAATTTTTTATTAGGCTTTATGTTCACCCCTATGAAATTTTTGGTGTAGGAAAGGACGTGGTGATCCCGCCAAGTTAGGGCATAGATGGGTGTGTTAGGAGCATAGGGCTCTTATTTTTGTTGTGATATATTTTTTGTTAGCCAAGGGCTATAATTGTTTGGATCCGAGAGACTATTTTTGTGTAACCGGCTTAAGCCTTGGAAAGTGTAAGCCCTTGAGGGCATTTTATTTACTTTGGATTTGATACTCTACATGCTATAGATTCATGTATTTAATATCATTGAATGTATAATTCGCATGTGGAACTATTTTTGTACAAACCTTAATGATCAATGATGTAAATATTGATGAATCACATCTTTTCTTATTATGAACGTTGGTTGGGGTATTTGTACAACGTT